GGGGGAACTGCGCAAAAAACGCATCCTCGTACCGGCAGCCGGTACGCTTTCTACTAGGTTTCATCTAGTTTGCTGCACTTCGACTGCCCGCTGCATTGGTAGACGGGGAAAGGAAGGTCATTGCAGCTTTTTTGTCAATTTATCTTCGAATTACAGATTCGCGATGAACGTGTGAAATTACGAGTGGCGCACATGATGCTTACTGTTATTATTGTTTTTGCATTGTGCTGGCTACCCTTATACGGTTGGCTTAACTTTGCGTAAAATTCGCACCATTAATAAGATCGTCTAGCAATTAGAAGGCGACGGACGTTTTGTTGGGCAAGAAAAGCGACCAATAAGACATGAAATACTTCTTTTGCCTGATCTCTTTCCCCTTTTTCATTTATAAGCAATTTTACAAAAGTCGGTGCTAGTCGGCTAGTAAGATCCCATGACGGGAATGCAGACTGGATTCCAAATTACATCACGAAAGGTACTACTCGACTTTCAAAACAGCTCTCTCCAAACCGTACTTTTGTGGTTCTTTCATAAAATAGTGATAAAATTTGCCAGAAGGTCAAAATCATATAGTCAGTCTGCAGAAAAGACTCCCTTACAATGTTTTTGTTGGTGCTTGCTTTTGACATATATCACCAATCTGGCTACCTGGCAATACTGCGAATTCCAACAGGAGGAAGAAAGGAACGTAAAATTGATTTTGAGAATGATAGTAAACGACGTTCAGATTTGTAAACGACGTTCAGATTTGTTTTTGAAGGTCTCAGTTTGGAACTGGTTTTTTAGCGCTCTTTTTTAGGTAACGATGTAGAATGACCTGTTTTCTCCTTTGCTGAAATCAACAAAACTCTGAAACGACAGATTGCAGGAATATACTGTTATTTCTTTTTAACGAAGGATCACAGTTCGGCAACATTTCAATTCGCATCGCATGTGTTGCGACCAATTTTCCAGTGGTTGTCGTTGCTATCGTCATCGCTGAATCCACTAATCTACATTGCCTATAGCCAAAAGTACAGACGCGCGTTCCGTCAGTTGCTGGTGCTACCATGTCATCGACGCTATGAGCGGATACGAAGTGTTACACGCACTACGCTGAGGCTTCGGCTGAAACCTCACACTGCAGATGGTACAATGCGTCAAGGCCGATACAACGGGAGTACGAAATCAGCCTGTGATATAACCTTATCACCAATTACCATACTGTCATCTTTGGACACGCCATGCTCTCGTTTACAGAGATCTCGCACTCAAACGATGTCTTCGTTTTGAGATTTACTAAACCATCAAAAATCTTTCATCCGCTGTAACGCTGATTCTTATAACATGGTGCACACTCTCATTAGTAAAAAACAGGTGCCGCAGTCAGTCTTCTGGATCTTGAATTTGCGCTTCTTTCTCCACCTCCAATAGATTCATTTAAAAAAATGTAAATTAAGGTGCGCTTTATGGTCACACATAGCACATAAAAATGCTGTTTTCAAAAATT